CATATGACTTCTCTTTACTCTGAGTTACTCTTTTGGGAGAAGAGTCTGAACTTTTTGCCAGATTTATCTTCCTCGCCTCTGGTCTCAACTTCAGTGTCTTAGTTTGTTTCTTCATTGCTGTGACAAAATACTCTGACCACTACCAACTACCAGGTCACAGTTATCTGGGAGCCCAAGGTAGGAACTCAGGGCAGGAACCTGGAGGCAGGAGCTGGAGCAGAGGCCATGGAGGAACTCTGCTTACTGGCTTGCTCCCTTGGCCCCTGCTCAGCCTGCTTTCTTATGCAACACAGGCCCACCTGCCCAGGGATGGCACCACCCACAGTGGGCTGGGCCCTCCTACATCACTCATCAAGAAGATGCCCTTCAGACATGACCACAGGCCAGTCCAATAGAGGAAATCCCCCAACTGAGGCTCCCTCAACCCAGGTGTGTCAACTTGACACTAAAACTATCCAGCAGATTCAGCAATCTTGCTCCTAGAGGCACTTTTACCATCCTGTGCAAACCTGTTTTCCTTAAGGTCACCTTTCCTAGATGTCAGACTTTACCTATGATATTTTCCACTCTCCTGGAGTCTCTTCCCTTTAACTTTCAGGATATCCCTCTCTTTGGTTTATGTCTGAGACGTGGGACACAAATCAAATGTCAAGGTGCATTGGTATCTTCTGTGCCCAGTTTGGGCTCACTGAGTGGCAGTGGTAGCACTGCAGGACTTTCCCACTCCAGGACTTTCCCACTGCAGGACTTTCCCACTGCAGGACTTTCCCACTCCAGGACTTTCCCACTCCAGGACTTCTACTAGAGTTCCTTAGCAGCATTCTCTTCAGCTTCACAGTGTTCTGTGGACACTCTTTATTTCCTCCCTTCTCATATCCTCTTCTTTGGTAGCTTCTCCATCTCTGTGCCTCCAATCAGAATTCCTTCATGCATTTCTTTTCTTCCAGCTCTAAGGCCCACCTCAAATACTTTCTGTCTCCCTTAGCCAGACTTTTGCCTCCCAAGTCTTCAATTTTCTCATCTGAAAACAGAAATGATGATACTCCCAGGCTTAATTTTCAATATTCTGGGGTCTCACTTGAGATTATGGGTATGAAAGTTGTCATACCTTGTCACGCCAAATTTTTCCTGTGCGCGCTCTCTGGCATACCAGAGAGCCATGGTTCTAACTAAAGCATCACAATGTTCCTCTTGTGGGCTCTTTCTCATAACTGAGATCTGCACCATCAGCGAGCTGCTGTGCGCTCCATCTCCCTTTCAAAATAGAGACTACCCCTCCCCCTTTTCCCCAGTGTACTCAGTGTTTCTCAGTGTCTGTGCTTAGGGAGTTCAGTTCTAGTTTCCTCGGAGGACACGCCTACCCAACAAAAGTGCCTTGGAAAATGTAAAATGCTTTATAAATACGGTGTTACCATCATTTCCTGATGCCCCACAGATTTTAATGTCTTTATGATATGTTTGTTAGGACAGATGGTACATTTATGTCAAGTGCCATTGGGGAATGCTGAATTCTTTCATCTATGAGTTTTTGACCTTCTTAAAAAGTTCAGTTTCCTGAAAAGTAAGAGTCATGCCATATTAGGAAAGAATTTAGGTAAAGGAAAGAATTTGAAAAACCACCCTCACCTTTTACTGTAGCATTCCTTCTGGCCTAGTGTTAGACACGTGGCAGTAGATGCTTCATACCTGTTTTCAGGATTCCATTAAGGTAGTAAGTTCAGACATTTCCAGCTCTTTTTACTTTACACTGAGATGCATATGAAGTGTGTTCAGTTCATACTTTTTATTTTATGTTTTTTCTTGGTAGGGGCCTTGCCTTTGGCTCTTCGTATCACATGGGAGGTGTTCAGTATGAACTCACTGCTCATGAGAAAGTCAAGTCTCAACTTTTGACCCTGGCTTGAGGCCTGGAGATGGCTCTTGCCACTTCATGAGCTCCAGGCTTGGGCTTCTTGGTAGATGAGTTCCTGTGTACTACAGAGCTGTTCTGTTTCTGAGTTGGTGCTGTGCTCTGAGTGGGTGAGGATGCTGACAGCCTGCCCTCCCAGTAAGTGATGGACGGGGAATCAAAGGAGTAAGAAAACCATTTCTACTTGGTGTAATTGAAGTACAATACAGTCAGATGATATTAGTAGCTAAACTTAATCAAATTGAACATTTAGTATAAGTCAGATATTGTTTTAAATGCTTTTGTGTGTTCTAATTAATTTAGCTCTCTCCAAAGTCCTGGAAGTAGTTATTATTGACAGTGGGAAAATGGAAGCAGAAGAAATTACAATAAACCTTCAGAGATTACTGAGTGAATAAATAGTAGAAACATGACCCAAATCCAGGAATGAGGCTTTGGTGCTCATTCTGAAATGCACCAATGCTAACTTGTCTCTCTGTGTAAGCAGAGGTCATGTTAAAACTCTCAATTCAGGTGTACATATGTGTCTTTTCACTTTTTCCTGGAGCAGAATTATTATCAGTAGCTCTTCTTTTGTGGTTTTAAGCTGTAATAGCTCTGGCCTATTTCTTATAGGGAAATAGTTTTATTATGTGCAGTGTGCATTTTCTATTTGACTGCACTGTGTTAGGAGTTAATTATTTAATCGGTTTCTTGATGTGATACTTGATTCATGCAGTTTATAGAGAAATAATGGTTTGCTGAAATCTACTAAGATGAAAATAGATGAGAATTTGACCTGTGTTTTATGCTTCATAGTTCAGAAACTATCCAACAGTTACAGCACATGTAGTGATGTCAGAGATCCTGCACAGGATCATGTAAGAAAGCAGAAGTGTTGGGGCTGGAGAAATGGTTCAGTGGTTAAGAGCACTTGCTGCTCTTGTAGAGAACCTGGGTTTTGTTCCCAGCACCCACATAGGGTAGCTTACAACCATATGTAACTCCAGGGGATTTGACGCCCTCTTCTGGCCTTTGCAGGCACCAGACACATACCTGGTGCATATATATGCAGGTATTCACACATAAACATAAGATAAAAATTAATGTCTTTAAAGAATCAGAAGTGTTAACATCTTGAAGGAACTTAATGCCATTAACTTGGGGAAACTGGCTTGTCTGTTCATTTTTATTTCTATCCTTTTTACACAGGATTTCTTGCCTACTAATCCAAGTTATTTTTATTTACTTATTTACCTGCTGAGCCATCTCACTGTCAAGTTATTTTAATTCAAGAGATAATTCTAAAAGCATGAAATCAACTGTATAGCCAAAACTACTTGAATAGCTATATTTGCAAGTACAGTAAATGTATTAATGGAAATGCAGGCATTTCACCCAAAGTGTGAAATAGATGGAGAAATGGGACAAATAAGGGAGCCCTTTCTCCCCGTTTCTGTACCCTCAGACTTTGTATCCAGGTTATTAGCTGTGGTATGAATACCGCACTCAAGGGTAGCTAGTTTGCTTTTTAAGTGGACTCTCCTAAGTTCCTAGAACTAAATAGTTTGGTTTTAAATGAAATACATTATAGAAAAGATGCCAACGTAGACTAAGGGTACAGAATAAATGTTAATGTCTATAAACACACTGGTGTGTTGTAGTTAGATTGACTCTTTGTAAAGCCAGTAAGATCTGGGTGAGGTAGAGTGAACCCACAAGGAAATTGGAAAGTATTAGTAGACAGACCACAAAAGGTGCCAGGTTAAAGTAGAGAGGTTTCATCAGCATCTGACAGTGCTGGACGATGAGATTCCCAATAAGCAAGTGATTCCATATGGAAGTCCCAACAGAGATGTCTGTTCCTTTGTGGAGGCCACATGTGAGCCAAAGGAAAGAGCTCATCGTGCTCCAGGTTTTTAAATGAAATACATTATAGAAAAGATGACGTAGACTAAGGGTACAGAATAAATGTTAATGTCTATAAACACACTGGTGTGTTGTAGTTAGATTGACTCTTTGTAAAGCCAGTAAGATCTGGGTGAGGTAGAGTGAACCCACAAGGAAATTGGAAAGTATTAGTAGACAGACCACCAAAGGTGCCAGGTTAAAGTAGAGAGGTTTCATCAGCATCTGACAGTGCTGGACGATGAGATTCCCAATAAGCAAGTGATTCCATATGGAAGTCCCAACAGAGATGTCTGTTCCTTTGTGGAGGCCACATGTGAGCCAAAGGAAAGAGCTCATCGTGCTCCAGGTAGTGGAAATAGTTTGGGCCATTTGGAGCCTCAAAATGGCAAGAGGCAGGCTCAGAAGGAATATTGGAGATTTAAATCACTCCAAGGAATCTCTTGGAGAAAGATGTTCACCCTTCTTTGTGTGTTTAGTTAACAAATGTTTATCATACCTGCTGTGTTCCAGGCACCAAATATAGACACTGGGAATAAAGTAGTTACAAAATGTGAAAAATCATTCCTTTTGTGAAACTTACATTCTTATTGGGGCAGACAAACAATGGTAAAATAAGTAAGTAAACCGTGTGGAATGGCAGATCATAAACGTTAGTGAGAAACATAAAGAGGGAGAGGCATAGAGACCTCTGGGGTGCTGCCACTGTGTGTCTTGTGTTTAAGAGCAGAAGTGGCATTGGAGCATGCATCCATAAATGACTTCAGTGAGCTACGTTCTCACACTGTGGAAACTGGAGAAGTGAGCCTTACTCAGTGGAATATATCAACTGTATTTAGCGTATCTCAGAAGGAAATAAATAACACATGTGGGATAGAAAAGGCAAAGAGAATGGTGGGATGTTTGGGAAAGCATAGACCCAAGAGGGAAGCTATGCAGATCTCTCCTCCTTAGTTTCTTGGTGAAGCTATGTCACGTAAAATTGAGGGCCACAGGTGTGTGACAACCTTGCCATCATTCGACCTCAGTTTGTAGATATTATTTGTGATACCAAGTTATAGTCGGTTGACATGGTTTATTTCCACAGCAGATTATTGCAGGCTGAGGCTTTAATAGACTCTCCTCAAGGCTTCATGTCTGGGAAGCTTAATCCTAATTCCTCACATTGTAGCGCTAATGTTTTATGCTTGTCTGTCTCTTGCAGTTTTGTAGGAAGCCAACCTCAGAGAGGCAGACAGGATGGCTAGCTCAGCCCGGGAGCATCTGCTTTTTGTGCGGCGTAGAAATCCCCAGATGCGGTACACTCTGAGCCCAGAGAATCTCCAGAGCCTGGCTTCACAGAGCTCCATGCCAGAGAACATGACCCTGCAGCGAGCCAACAGTGATACCGACCTGGTGACTTCTGAGAGCCGTTCCAGCCTGACTGCCAGCATGTATGAGTATACGCTGGGGCAAGCCCAGAACCTCATTATCTTCTGGGACATCAAGGAGGAGGTGGACCCCAGCGATTGGATTGGACTCTATCACATAGGTCAGTCAAAGCATCGGAACTTGCATGTAGCACAGAGCATGGAATTTTACTCTGATATTGTAGCATTCTATATTTTCTGCTGACAAAAACATTTCACATACAAATAGACATAGCAGATTCTGTGAATTTTCCTTCTTCCTGGGGAGGAGAGACAACAATGCTTTTACTTACGTGCATTGTGTGGTTGTATTTCTACCAAATTGAATGTCAGATCTGCAACTATTGCAGTGTTTTCTTTACAATTTCCTATTGTCTTTATTGATCTATAATTACATTTTGGAAAGAGGTTATTAACAGTTACAAATACTGTTAAACCAATACAAAACATTTTGTATTTTCTAAAGGTTAAATTTCATTCAAACAATCTGTAGTCTGAGAATGTTTTATGGCTGAGAAATAGTTGCTGTTTGTTTTCATGGAATGGTCCCAACTCTGTTTAGCTGAATTTGAGCCTGTTCATAAGTGAATGAGTGATGAATGAAGCCTCTCAGAAAGTAAAAACTGTATTATTCAAAAGCAAAAATCAAGCCTACCAATTAACCATAAAATTTAAATCCAACCCAATAGTAAAATCTAACATCCAAGTTGGAAAATGAAGGATATCCCTTTAACAATTTAACGTACTGTTTTATTAGAGATTGCTGCTTTTAAAATGAATAATTTTCATCTTTTAAAATGAATAATTAGTGGAAGAAGGAACCTATGGCCCTTAAAGCCTTCTTAGGGCTTCTTAGACAAGGCTGATTTTGCCCCCTAGAGGACACTTGGCAGTGTGTGGAGACATTTTTGACTGCTGCATTCAGATTGCAGTGGAGGGAGACATCAAGAGTGATGCTCTATAGCCCCCCCATGTGCAGGAGAGCTCTGTGCACCCAAAGAATCACCTGACCCCAAGTGTCAGCAATGCCACTGCGAGAAACCCTGGTTTGAGGGATGCCAACATCCTTGCTGAAATTTTGTTAAAATGTTAAACTCCTGAAATGTGTGTTTTTTGGGGACTGAGAATTTTATTTTGAAAAAAAAAAGGATTTATATTTATTTATATATCTCTTAATGATTAGTCATGCTGGATAGTAAGAAATCTAAAATGATAAAAATTCAATGAATTAGTAGCTTCCTTTTATCTC